CATACTTCTGTAGCGATTTGTGCAATTTCATCCTCGAGCACAAAATACACGTCCCAAGCCACTTACAAGTACTACTGAATTGTCGATTGTCGTCATTTTTCTCTACAGTTTTCGTGTGATTAAGTTACATCTGAGTCTCTAGATTGTAATCTGCTTCCTCTCGCTTCTATCTGAGTTGTTTACGGGTTTTCAAATATCTTGTGCAGATTATGAAGTTTTCAGAAGACGGGTTTTGCTTGTTTCAATCTGCCTGCTATTATGGAAGGATAACCAACTTTGACAGCTAATTGTTCATTGTCAACGAGACCGGAAGAAGGAAGGAGCTCGATGAAAATAAACATACACCTGGTATTTAAAGTGCAATTTTATTTAGTTTGTAGATAACACATCTAACTTAACCTCTTCAAATATCTTTATTGCGCTTCGCACATCTTGAATACAACTCACTATCTATATAATTTTGTAAAATAGCCAAAAGTTCATTAGCTCTCGTGACAATAAATCGTAATTGTGCCTGGTATGTAACAGAAAATATAGATTGCATTTGTTTACTATAGATACTTTCAACAGCAAGATTTAATCATCACTATCATGAATAATGACAGACGTTTAACTTACCAAAAACCTCAATAAAGTGTATCAAACATTTTGTCTCAGTAAAGGTATCCGCTAGACATGTCATAGTAGAACATAAAAAATAGCGGAGATATAGATGGCAACAACAAACATTTACAGTCAATAAAATCAGAGCATCCATGTCTCTGCTTCATCGCAGCCACTTATGGTCATTGATATGCATAATAACTCTTTCCACATTATCCATCCTTTTCAGCAACATGCTGTAAAAGAAAATTCACTGTTGGACCGCTTTTGTAGCTCCACTCTTCCAAGAGTACGCGAGGGCCATAGTTATCCAGCACTAAACAAAGAGCTATATTACTGTATTTAAAATTTCCATGACCTGTTTTTGATAAAAATTCGTTATATCGACATCTACATAGGTCTGAGACCTTTTTTTTACATAATGTACAAAGTGTTCGTAAGTCTATGAACCCTAAAAAAACGCTAAAAACCCGTTAAATTCTTTTTTTTAGTTTGATACCAACTCACATCTATTCTCCAAGTTCCATATATATATTGCATCGAATAGTGTCCTGCCATGAGCTTCGAAGTCATTGCTCCCAAAATGAAGAACGACATTCTCTCCTGAAGATCATGACATGGTATTTCAATACAATTAGAAAAGTGGAGGAAACACGGCTTACAGAAACCTCTAAGCTACTAATTTTTTAGCAAAAGTCAAATTTCGCGCACGCTGAACCCTATTCC